GGGGGGGGGGGGGGGGGAAGCGAGCCTAGGCGGTCTGCGTTGGCGCCAACGCGCGTCGTGATACGGCTCGGAGCGCGTGCCGCGGCCGTCCGCGTTTGTCCGCCAACACTGAAGAACCTAAGACGCTGAGAACAAATATACGCATTGCATTGAAGGCTAAAATAACAGTAACAATTTACCTTTAATTTCCAATAATTCGCTTACCACTTATTGGCCAAAATACCGTTCGATTATATGCGTATACTGCAGAAGGGAATTTAACACAGAACTACACTGTATGCAAAAATAGAGAGCAGTTGGTTAAAAATACGTTTCATTTCATGCAAATGTATGCCTGTATACATAATTGGAATGGTTCGGTAAAATAAAGCCAGAGAAAATACTACGTCTACGAGGTCTTTATTGCCTTTTATTGGTGGGCGCTTTTTCCCCTTCGAAATGGAAATAATGCACATGGCTTTTATTTCTCTTTTTTTGGGAAATAAACCCCATGGACGTTATTTCCGCGGACCTTATTGCACTCCCCCATAAAAAATACGAATTCTCAAGGTTGCCAAAAATTTAAGTTTACTGAATTTATATTGAAACTGTGTATTTTGCCGACTTTGACTTCAAAGATATAAAAGTTTAAAATAAACAGTAAAAACGTGTAATTTCACCTCGAGATCGGTAGTTGGTGCAAAGTTTCATTCTTTTGTGCAAATTATCGTGAAAGGAAACAGACCTAATGTGAAAACAACTGATTCGGTTATCGGGTTTGCTGATGTTCCAAAAATCTAAATCCGATTGAATTTCGTGACACCAAATGAAAAAGGTATCGGTTTTCATTTCCGAAAAAAATCAATTCCGAGTCGGATTCTGCGACAGAGCTGATTGTTCTTTCACTTTTACAAAAATTACCTTTACATAATAAAACATGGCATGATAAGTTAGACCAGTGTTGCCCGTCGTTCTTACCCGTCTAAATACAACCTAAATCCCGTTTTATACTAAAGATATAACAGAAATCCCGCGCTGTATGTATATATTATACATAAAATGCTTTCGGATGAAAAATACAATTATGTATGTACATTAGGGTGCTTCTTTTTGTGACTATTGGTTTTTTCCCTCCTACCTCAAAAATTTGTGGGAAACACCTAAAAAAATCTTCCTGAATATTTGAAACCTTAATATTAACATTAAGTACTCGCCCAAGGCGTGCAAAGATTTCTCATATAAAATACACGTAAACTTTGATTTTTTTGAAAACTCTACAGCTCTGAGGCATTTTATGGTATAATCTTGGTCAACGATGGGTTTTCTTCAGAATTGAATGCTCTACAAAAGTGTCCATTGCAGCGTAGTCCTTACTCCCTCCTGCGAGGTAGTACGGGTCACTAAACCCAATTTTTCATGAAATTCTCGATCATTCAATTTCCTACAAAAAAATTCGAGGAAGCCAAATCGCTAGCATCGATATTTCTTGAGATATTGGACTTTGAAGTTGATCAACAAATTCTACAATTTAGCTCAATACTCCGTGAAATTCCACACTACCTCAACTTAAAGCCCAATATCTCAAGAAATATCTACGTTGGCGATTTGGTGTTTTGAAAGCCTTTTGTAGGAAATTGATTGTCCTACAAGTTTGTGGTTTACATTTTTTATGCAGCTCTTGTTATTTACGATAGGGGCAAAAAAACGAGAATTTTATTATAAAAAAATGGGTTTAGTGACCCGTGTAGTACGCTGGTGGGAGTAAAGATTACGCCGCAATTGACACTTTTGTAGAGCATTCAATTCTGAAGAAAACCCATTATTGACCAAGATTATGCCATAAAATGCTTCTGAGCTGTAAAGTTTTGAAAAAAGAAATCAAAGTTTACGTGTATTTTATATCGGAAATTTTTGGACGCCTTGGGCGAGTACTTAATGTTAATATTAAGGGTTAAAATTTTCAGGGAGTTTTTTTTATATGTTTTGCACAATGAAAAGAAACAGTAGTCGCCAAAAAAAAAGGCACCCTAATGTACATAGATATGCAATACACATAGGATTTATATACATTAGGGCGGGTAAATTTTTTTGACTATGCGCGTATAGCATAAGAGGTTTCTACTTGTAATTCGACGCAACTTTGCCGAAGAAACCATCGGTCTAAAATCAATTAGGAGTTTGCCATATTGCGAAAATAGGCTTAGAAGAAAATGTGGAAATATTTACTGTTGTGCCCTCTGGTGGAAGTTTTAAGAAAAAGAGAAGTGCAGAAATGGGATCCTCATACCTCTACAGCATGTTTTTGTACAAAATTTATGCAATTCTTTACGATACTTCAGCAAAGTGCTAAGAAACCTATTTTCACAATTTGGCGAATTCCAAATTGGTTTTAGAGCCATGGTGTCTTCGGCGAAGTTACTTAGAATCACACATATGTATGTGCAATACGCGCATAGTCAAAAAAAATCTCCCATACAAATTTACCCGCCATTATATATTTTAGACAAACAACCTTTCATTCGTTTTCGCGTTTAAATTGATCAGATGGCTTACATTTCATTGGCTAATCTTAGTTTAAACCAGCCAGCTCGGGTGTTTAAACTATGTATAAACCACAGGCGTGCACAGAAAAACTGGCCCTAAGTCGAACAGTTAGGTTGTTTGTTAAGTAAATTAGATTTTACTACACATATTTAATGCTTTTTCGGTAAATCTATTTTTCTTTTTCGTTTTGATGTCAGTAACCATTGAACTATTTACTGCCTCTTTGTTAACGACTACCTCCCAAACGTTTGCCAATCGCAAGTTTTACTATTTGCATTATCAAAGAATACAATCACTCAAAATACTTTTCAGAATCCATAAACTCATAGCATTTGAAAAAAACAAGTAATGATTGGAAATTTTTTCAATGTTTTCAAAATACACAACTTCTCGAGTTGCCCTCACGTTTTTCTAACTTATATCACTTTATTTTTCCCAATTACTTTCTGAATAACTCATAAACTTGCTATTACAATCCATTTAAAGTGAATGAAATTCCGCTGATAGGGTTCATATGAACGGCGTTAATTTACCACAGAGAGCAGCTTTTTCTTATTTATCGATTACTAAATTTTCTTGCTTGGTATGGTATGCAAAAAACCCCGTTTTTCGACAGAAAATCCCGTTCGCCCTTTTAAGTCATAAGATCCAGAAAAAAGGGTGAAATCCCGCAAACTGGCAACACTGAGTTAGAAATCACAGCAATGATGAGCTAAGGTTTGTGACTTTGCTAGAATACGGTTGTTAATGAGATAACGTTATATAGTTATAAGTGGGTGGTACCACGCCCATATTCCAAAATTCCTTAATAATAATATTTCTTTTTTAGAGATTGTTGTGAGGATCAACTTGAAAAGTAAATTGGCTTTCTTAAATTTCGAAATATCGAAGTTTTAGCATTATCTGAAAAGTGGGCGTAATTTTAGTCCGATTTGAAAATTTTTTAATGATTTGATTTTTTGGTTCAAGTGCAATAATTTTGACGAGTTTGGTACAAATTCGTAGAACGGTTAGCGAGATACACATATGTAGGTGGACGGTGCCACACCCATTTTCCAATTTTTTTGTACACATATTTCTTGCTAAAGCTTTATTGCAAGTATAAATTTGGAACAAATTCGCTCTGGTATTTACTGATTTATCGAAGAATTCGTATTTCTCTAAATTACTGTTATATGGGATGTGGGCATAGTTATTGTCCGATTTTAAAAGCAACAACAATCAACAACTGTACCAAGTTTAGGAGAAGTTGGTGAAGAGGTTACCGAGATATACATATCGTCGTTTAAAGTACAAAACCGCGTATCGTCATTCTGCAAAACCGCGTAACTGACATTGGCTGCCAAAAATTGGATTCGCTCACACAAGCTCTTGGCTCAATGCTTATCCATTCGTCCTAGAATATACTGGACGGAAATGCGATTGCTTTATTAAAAAAGAGAAACATTTTGAAATACAGTGTTTTTACTCTAGCAAATAATTTATGCAACCTCACATACGCGGTTTTTGCATTTTGTTGTTTTGTACTTTAAAGGACGAATGTAATCATAAATAATAAAAATTTATAATATTCTTATATCCGCCTAAAAATCATTGCAAATATCAAATTTTCAGTGAATAAGCTTTAGTAACTAACTAATACATATATCGCAGTTTTCGTATTTCTGAAAATTACCGTTAAATGGGAGGTAGGCGTGGTTATAGTCCGATGTCGCCCATTTTCAATACCGCCCTGCCAAGTTTCGTTAAGATGTCTCAAGTTTTACTCCTTATCGTTTGCACAGATGGACAGACGGACGGACAGGCAGACAGTCACGGCTTAATCGATTCCTTTTTTCATTCTGAGCATTTATATATAAATTTGTCTATATCTATCTCGATTCGTTTTGGCTGTTACAAAAAACTTATAATAAGCTTGTGCACAAGTGCGCTCTGGTATAATAATATACATTTAATTTCTGCTGCACAGTATAGTTTTTCTACAAAACGGCCACGATCATTTCTTGGGTTCGATCGCTATAAACAAAGGGTTGGTGAATGGCTAATTTGAAGAATTCCTCAATTTGTAAGCAGCACATCTCTGCAAATTTATACTTTTTAACACCTTAATACATACATATATTCGTATAAACATATTTTGTTTATGTAAACATAAGAGTCTAAAATTACCCTTACTTGCAAAATCATCATTATATATGTACATATATTTTATACATATTATTTTTTCATTACACAGATTTTGGACATCTGCCTGAAATATTTGAGTTATGATCCGAACTATAACTATGAATCTGATGACGGCCAAAGTTGCCTTGCAATGGATACTGAGGAAGGCGATTATGCTGATAGTGACGACTACAGTGATGATGACGACATAAGTTGGAAAGTTCGTCGCGCGGCCGCAAAATGCCTAGAAGCTTTAATAATAACGCGCCAGGAGTCGCTTGAGAGCTTTTGTCAGGATTTGGGTCCTATATTAATTTTACGTTTCAAAGAACGGGAAGAAAATGTAAAATCTGACATATTTCATGTGTATACCACGTTGTTGAAAAGCACAAAGTTCCCAAACACTTTATCACAAGACCCTGATTCTATGGAAGAGATCCCACGTAGTATTGCACTGCTTCAAGATCAAGTGCAAGATATTATAAAAACTATACAGCCTCTAATGCGTGAAAGATCAATGAAAACGAGGCAGGATTGTTTTTTTTTGTTACGGGAGTTGCTAAGCGTATTACCCGGAAGTTTAGGACCCTATCTAGATGATATTGTACCGGGTATTAATTACTCTTTGAACGATAAAAACTCAACAAGCAATATTAAAATCAATGCTTTAGGGTTATTGGGCTCATTGTTAGCAAGTAACACACCGTCATATTTTTTCCAACCACATTTTCCTGTATTGGTACCACTTATCGTTAACGCGGTGTTTGACTCGTTTTATAAAATTTCCACAGAAGCGCTTCAAGTGTTACAAGAACTCGTAAAAGTTTTACGGCCTATGCAAGATCCTGCAGTGCCATTACCCACTACCTTTGAAATAAGTCCGTTTGTGGAAGATCTTTATTCTGCTACTCTAAAAAAATTAATGACTTCCGACGTAGATCAGGAAGTAAAAGATCGTGCTATTAGTTGTATGGGTCAAATAATAGCAAATTTGGGGGATTTTTTAGTTCCACAAGTAAAAACTTGCCTACCAATATTGATGGAACGTCTAAATAATGAAGTAACTCGCTTAAGTAGCGTTAAGGCAATTTATATGATCGCGGCGTCTCCGTTGAGAATTGATTTAACTTTAATAACAAAAGAGGTTATTCCCATACTAGGTTCGTTTTTAAGAAAAAATCATAGAGCATTGAAATTGCATTCCTTGGATCTATTAAATAAATTGATACAAAATTATTCTCACACATTTCATCCCCAAATACTACAGTCGGTAATTATTGAGCTCAAACCGCTTATATCGGACTCAGACTTACATATTGCTCAATATTGCTTGACTACTTTAACTACAACTGCTCTTAAGCAACCAAAAGCGTTGGAAGGCATTCATGAACAATTTTTGCCCGCGGTGTTTCTTCTAGTACGCTCGCCTCTATTGCAAGTAAGTAACGTATATCCCGATACACTTGAGTAAGGAAATTTTAGTTCCTCATTACCCGAGCGTATGACTTGTGTGCATTGGATACACTTCATTTTGAAGAATGGTTAATTTGGAGAAAGGTGGAGAAAATTAAGAAAATACCTTGGTTAAAATTACACGAAAAATGTGCAAATTTTGTTATTCACTTGATTAGGCGGAGTACGTATAGCATTCTTATGTACGTAACGAAGCTATTAAAAATTAAAAAATTAAGGACTTCGCGGGTCGGGGACTTTGCAGGCGATATGTTGGGAATAAAATTGAAAGCAATGCAAATATTTTTGGCAGCTTAAGTCAACGCACAGCATCGCATAAAAAAAATGAAATGGAAGCAATACACAAGAGCTAAATAGATGGAAATAACAGAAGGTCCGTATGCCTTTTATCGTCGTGATACTATACCAAATTAAAGAAAAAGGTGGTTTCCATGGCGATTACGAATTGCTTTACACACTTGTGCAATGAATATTTCCAAAAAGTACATCAATAAAGACTCAGCGTTAAGGATCACTACTGGACGAAGAGAAATTTGTGGTTTCTTACGCGAAAATTTAATTTTGATGGCTCGAACGGATTTAGTAATTATTTTGTCGATTTTTAAAATGCATTTTGATTCCTTTTTTGTTTTGTTTTTGCTAGGGATGTGTCGGGTATCCGGTAAATATCCGGAATCCGGCTTATCCGGATTATAAAAGATTAAATTTAAAAATTTAGTTCAGAATTTTTTGTATAGTTCATTATAATCAAATTTAATGGTATCTAATTAGTAATTCAAGTTAAAAACTTTTACAATTTTTATTATGAAAAGAAGCATTCCGAATTATCGGGCAACAACCTATTTCTATTTTCAACAAATGCTACCCGATGGACTAAACACTCTTTCGGAGTTTACTGAGGAAGGTGGTGTGCAAAGTTAATTCATTGCCAGTGGAAACAAATTTAGAAATTCTTTGTCACAATGCTTCCACCAAATTAAGGGATCTTCTTGGCTGGGTATATGAGGCATTCTTTTTTAAGTCTCCGATTCGCTTTAATTTTTTTTTTGTGGGTTCTATACATGAAATAAGCTAACACGTGTTCGAGGAATTTTTTTCTTTTTTTTTCTTCGGATATATGATCTGTCAAAGTTGGGATTTTTTCGTAATTCTCATGTACTTCTTCCAATCGTTCTATCTCGGGTTCTGCTGATTGTAGAGTGCATCTTAACGTCATTTTAAAGTTAAGAAACGGGCTTAACATTTCTATATATAAGGTGGTCAAGAATGTCCTAAATTAACTTAGCATTAACAGATGAACTTTTTGAAGTTTATTTGCATAGTGAAGCCCAGTAAATTAGGGATTTAAAATTATGCCATCGTAATCCTTGTTTAATTCTCTATAAAAAACATGGTTCAACAAAATGGGGGTTTTCAAGAACTATTTTTAATTTCCTTTTTGGTTGTTGTTGTTTCCGACAGGGTATGTGTATGATGTATTATGGAACGAATTTCCGTCATCCCTTGTCAAATTTGGTTTGGAGACAAACCGGTTTCGGCGTTGTGCCATCTTCAGTGTCATTTTTCGTTCTGCATAATTTTTGTTGGTTGCTCGTATTTATACTCCTTGTTAACT